TTTAAAAACTAGGTTGGGATTTCTGTTTCCAGTGAAGATGAAATAACAGGAGCTAGATTTAGCTTCCTCCATGAAAACTAAAGAACTGAAAAAAACATAGAAACTGTGGTTTTCAGTCATGGGCCATCAGGCAGCACAGGATAGTGATCCTGAGAGAGAGAAAACCAATGAGGTAAGCTGACCGTACTGCCTGGGGACGGTTTCCAGGCCAGGGTGCAAGCAGGGGGAACACAGGAGGAGCTCAGCATCTCTCTGAGTTGAGAAAATACAGTGGGAAGTCTCAAGGTAGTTGCAGCCCATATAGCAGAGTACTAGAGAGAAGAGGGCTGCAAAAAGGGAGTGTTGCAGCAATCTTAGACGGTCCCCCAAGTCTTCCACTGAGTACTGATCAGGACTTGCATGTAAGAAAGCTATCTGAGAACAGGGAAAGAACCCCCTGAGAGAAGCAAAGGAAACAATCCCCGAGCCCAGTACAGAACTGGGAATAGTGTGCCCAGTCTCACCATTCAGAGTGGAAAACTTCATCATTCACAGGGCACCAGAAAGAGTACTCAGAAAGGTTACCGACAGTAACCCTAAAGCCTGCTCTCATCTTACCTAGCAAAGCTTAAAAGCAAACTTCAAAAGGACCAAACTGTTTCTGAATAATTTAATACATCCAAGAACAAAGCTCAAGAATATTTATAGCAATGCCAAAAAATCCAGCACACAGAAAGGTAAAATTCACAATATTTGGTACCCAATTTTAAAAATGACCAGGCATAGTCCAGGTGCTGTGGCTCATACCTGTAATCCCAGCACTTTGGGAGGCCGAGGTGGGCGGATCATGAGGTCAGGAGTTCAAAACCAGACTGGCCAACATAGTGAAACCCTGTCTCTACCAAAAAATAAAAAAATTAGCTGGGCAAGAAGAATTGCTTGAAGTAGGACCCCCAGAGGCAGAGGTTGCAGTGATCCGAGATCCCGCCACTGTACTCCTGCCTGGGCTACAGAGCGAGACTCCATCTCAAAAAAAAAAAAAAGAAAAGAAAGAAAGAAAAGACCAGGCATGCAAGAAGTGGGAAGTATAACTCATAATGAGGAAAAAATCAATCCACAGAAACAACAAATGATAACATTAGCAGACTGGGACTCTAAAAGTTATAGCTGTATTCTTCATGTTCTAGGAGCTGGAAAAAAGAACGAACATCCTAGAGACATAGAAGATTTTTTTAAAGATTTAAATCAAATTTCCAAAGATAAAACTACAATGCCTATGATGAAAAATATCCTAAATGAGAATAAGAGCATACTAGAAGGAAAGACTAGTGAGTTTGATGACCCTGCAATAGAAATGACCTAAAAGGAAATAGAAAAAAGACAAAAGAAATTAAGGAAGGAAGGATGGATGAATGGACCAATGAGCCAGTCACTGAAGGAGAAGAGAAAGGGGGGAGATGGAATAAAAGATGTGAAGAAACAATGACCAAAAAATTTTCCAAATTTGATGAAAACTATAAACTCACAGATCAAAGAAGCTCAACAAACTTCAAGCACAAGGATCATGAAGAAAACTGTATCAAGGCATATCATAATCAAATTGCTTAATATAAATAATATTTAAAGTTGTAAGTATAACCTTAATTTGCAAAAGAAATAAAGGAATAGTCAAATATAGTTAAACTGTCAAAAGATGAAGAGACAAATTAATTCATTGGAGCAGTCAGTAAGTGGAATGATGAGGTAAGAGCACATGCTCACATGAACTGCCATACTTACACGTACGCACACATATGCTTTTATTCTCTTACTTAATAGGATCCATACTTACTGAATATTACTCAGCAATAAAAGGAATGAAATATGAAAACACCAAACAATATAGATAAGTCTCGAAAAGGTTAAGTGAAAGAAGACACACAACAGACTACCGAGAGTAGGATTCCATTTATATAAAATTTTTTATAAGTCAAAGCTATAGAGACAGAAAGCAGATCAGAGGTTGCCCAGGGCTGGGGATTAAGGGAAGGAATCAACTGTAAAACAGCATGAAGGAATTTTTAAAGGTGATGGAAATGTTCTGTTTATCTTGATTATGGAGGTGTTTACATCACTGTATAATTTCTAAAATTCATCAGCCTATTCACCTAAAGTAAGTGAACTTATGGGAGGTAAATTATACCTCAATGAAGTTATTAAAATAAACATGCAGATAAATAAGGAAGAGGAAGAAATGTATAATTTGGTGTTTCCTGGGGTAAATTAAAGGTAAGGAGGGAAAAGGTAGCTTCATCTCTAGTTTGAATCAGATAGATGTTCTCATGTAAAATAGTCATTCTTTAGAGAGAGTGTGTGTGTGTGTGTGTGTGTGTGTGTGTGTGTGTGTGTGTGTTTTGAGATGGAATTTCCCTCGTCGCCCAGGCTGGAGTACAATGGCGTGATCTTGGCTCACTGCAACCTATACCTCCCGGGTTCAGGCAGTTCTCCTGCCTCAGCCTCCCAAGTAACTGGGATTACAGGCACCCGGAGACACATAGGGTTTCACCATGTTGGCCAGGCTGGTCTTGAACTCCAGACCTCGTGATCCACCTGCCTCAGCCTCCCAAAGTGCAGAGATTACAGGTGTGAGCCACTATGTCCAGCCCCTCCATGTGTTTTTTAAAGCTCATTGTTTTTCCTTTTTAAAAGAATACAGATAAATTATATAACACACTTATGTTCTCATCATGCTATCACAATATGTGAATGAATAACCTTTTGCTAACTGCTTTAACAGAGTAAGAATTGTTGGGAAATGTTCTATCAAATCTCTTCGGAGTAAACCCCTCCACGAACTGCCTGCACAGCCACATTTTAGGCAACACCACAACCTCTTCAGCAGTGGGATGACACGGATGAGGCAGAGGTTTGCACTTGCTGGGACTTTGTGCACAGGAGGGAGGCAGGCTACCACTGTTGCCAGCTCCCTCCCTCCCTCCAGACTACAAGCCCAGTTAAGGGAAACAAAGGTTGGGGGAACAGGGAGGAGGTTGTTGGGAGGGTTTCCTCTGATTGGCAGTAGCCATCCTAATAAAGTTGACTCAGTATTTCCTCCTCTACAAATTAATTCTTCAATATATATTCTTCAAATATATTCTCACAAGGGCACAGAGATACATGTACAAGGATACCAGAAAAATGCTATTAAAAATGACAAAAAAGTAGAAACAAACAGATGTTCATAGCTAGGAAACTGGTTAAATAAATTAGGGCACATTCATATAACTGAATTCTGTTAGAACAAGAGCTGTAATAAAGGCTAACAAGTCAAGACATTCCAGGTAAGTGCATATATTATGTCCCAGGTCAAAGCAGCATGGCAAGTGGCCCTACACTCCCACCACTGCTAACCCCTCCTGACTCACCTGTAGGTAAGAGCGCAGCTTTGGTGCAAGTGGGCCTCATGACATGGTAAATATAGAGAAATCATGTTTGAGGGAAGAGTGAGTGGAATTCTATGCACTAAAATGGTGCACAGAATATTTAGTGCAATAACTATGCACTAAAATAATGGACACTGTATGATTCCTCTGTGTAGACCACATACACACTGAGGAAATTTCGGGGTGCATACATAAGCAACTTCAGTTCTAGCAGTGACTTCTGGGAAGTGGACTTGGAAGGATTTTTCACTTTTAACTGCACCCCTCAGCAATGGTTGATTTTTCTTTTTACATGCATGCATGGCTTTTACAATGAAGTACAAACACACAATTAAGAAGGCAGGCCAAATGGGGAAGCCGTCAGGGAGCAGTCCTGCAAGCCAGAGGTCACTTGCCATGTTGAAATGTAATCATCACTGTGATGGAATTAAGAGGTGGGACCATTAAGAGGTGATTAGGCCATGAAGGCTCAGTCCTCACCAATGGATTAATGCTGTTATCCATTAATGCTAGTGGGCCTAGATTTAACTGCAGAAGAGGAAACAGCAATGTGCCCAGGGAAGCAGAGATTATAGCAAGGTAGCCATAGGCCAAGGAATGCCAGCAGCCACCAGAAGCTGGAAGAGACCAGGAACCAACTCTGCCCCAGAGCCTCTAAAGACACCAGTCCTGCCAATACCTGAACTTAGGCCTAGCGAAGGTGATTTTGAACTTTTGGCCTACAAACTATCAGAGAATAAGCATGTGTTGTTTTAAGCCATCAAGTTTATGGTAACTTGTTACAGAAGCCAGAGCAAATTAATGCAATCACTCTTTAATAAGCTATTGCCCTTCAAACCAAGGACTTTGAGAGGCTTTCTGCTGTGGTCTAGGCTTCAGTTGGCATTCAAGTCTGGAGCATTAATATCCAAAGTTAGAATATATTTACTTCTGATATGATGTATTTTGATCCTGAGGATCTGGAAGGGTGTCATCAGAAAGACCCTTTCCAAAATACTCTAGACATTTGCCTGGACAGATGAGTACATCATCCTTCCAATTCTACGACATTAGAGCAAATACCTAATAAAACATGCATGACCTCAAAGAAACCAAACATCTAAGAAACAATACTCTTACTGTAGAACTTTCAGACAGGTACAGCTCCACTGGTTCCCTACTGCCCAAAGGGCGGACATCCCCACCCCTTCACCCTGGAGCTCCCTGGCCTCCTCAGCTCCTCTTCTATCCTTACCCACCTAGCACCCTACACACCTGGCACAAAAACCCATGCCACTTGTGAGACACACCCTGTTCTGACGTCCTTGCCTCTGCACAGGTGTCCTTGAGCTTGCATTTCCCTTTGGCCAGTCTCTCTCCATCTCTCAAACCCTTTAAGTCAAAACTCATCTTCACAGTAAAACAATCACCAGCCTCTCCCACAACCCACACTGCAAAGAATAGGCCATTTCTTGCTGGTGTGCTCAGGGAGGCCATGACATGCTGGGTTCAGCCTTGAACTACACCCTACAGCACCTGTGGCAGAGGACTCACAGGCCTGTCTACCTGTCTTCCTGAGGACCCTTCGAACCACTGAAGGCAGGGAGGACAGCCTCTTACCCAAGGGAACATCCTCAGCCCCATCCCACAGTGCCGGAGAGAGAAAGATGCAGCAGGGAGCGCCAGCTGCACAGCCAGGCAATCTTGCAGAACAGGCTTCTCTAAATGTGGGTGGTGACCCACTAGGAGCCAGGGCTTCAAATTAAGAAGTATGAAATCAATTTTAAGAGGACAAGCATTTTTTTTTAGTATTAAAAGAGAAAATAGTACTTAGCTTTACTATATGTAGCAGTGACTTTTTTTCAGTTTTACGTACATACAGACAGTAGACATTTACATACAAACATGTGTATTATCTACTGTTGGTTCCCAGTCAAAAAAATGAACAACAAACTGTTGTCCAAAACATCCTTCCCAGGAGGCCAAACAAAAAGGACAGTGCTGAGAAGAATTGTCATCCTGCTAGGGAAGGGAGTGTGTTACAATGGCAGGTGGGTGTGGACAGACCCCCCCCCTCCCCACCACGAGAGTGCAGGGCAGAGGATGACAAGCCGCAAGTAGTGGGAGCAGGAGCAGTAGGGCAACTCTGCCCCTGGAAGGGTCTGGAGCCTTCCCTCATCACTCTTCCTCAAGTCGGTGCTGGACACTCACCATGTGCCAGGCAGCATGAGGTGCTGGGGTAAACCAGACACAAGATAGACAGGGTCCCTGCCCCATGGAGTTCGCAGCCTTGCAAGGGAGCTGGATTATAGCTAAGTACACAAAGAAATACAGTAACTACAGGCGGCAGTAAGGGCTGTGAAGGAGAAGCACAGCAGTGAGGAGTGGGAGGAACAGGAAAGGCTTCTTTGAAGAATGAGCAGAAGTAACGGGAGAGGAGAGAGCCCTCCCTGCAAAGGGACAGCCTGAGGCAGGGCCTGTCACAAAGACCATATATCTGAAGAACTGAAAGAAGTCAAGTGGGCCTGCAACAGAGGAAATGACAGGGGTCAGACCCCACGAGACCCTAAAGGCCATGTTCAGCAGCACAGCCTTTAGCCTAAGGCAATGAGAAGCCTCTGAAAGACTGAGGCAGTAGACTGAATTGATTCAGGTCCCTTAGAATTAGGTCCCTGCAACAGGTGGATGCAGGACAGGCAGGGGATGCAGACAGGTGCCCCTTCTCAGCCCCCAACTCTAAATACAACAGGAGACATGGCCCAATGGCTCCCTTGGTGGCCCTGGACAAGACACTGAAGTTTTCTGAGCCTCGGCTTCCCATGCTGAGTCATGGTGAAAGGTCACTGAGTCTACAGGCCAAAGTCACTGCTCCTCTCATGACCACAGTGATTTCCATGGACAGTGTCATGCAACGGCGACCCTCCTGATACATGAGTCCCTGGGAGCATGTAAATGGATCAAGACCAAGAGGACTGATGGGACACAACTGCTAAGCACAACCTCAAGCTCCTGGGAGCTATCAGAGAAGACTGGGCGCCAATGCGGCAACACACACACAGCCCAGCCAACTTCCCGCAACTGCTGAAACTCCACGGCCCAAAAGCAAGTCTCCTTCTTTCCTGCTTCCTCCTCCACAAGGCCTGGCTTTAAAAATGTCAATGTGAGGCAGCAGCATGGTGACTACATGCCTTGTCTTTCTTGGAAATCACATATACCATGTTATGGCTCCTGGACCGTAACAATTATCCCCAAGTTACCAAACATCTGGGTGCCTGCTTTGGGCTGGGTTGGACCCTCTGATGCGAGCTGGGGCTGAAGAGATGAGTCACTCTTACGACTTTACAGTCCTAGAATAGATTCTTGGGAACCCCCGCCATTTTCACAAATAACTCTTTCTACCAGGCCTGAGGGGGTCAAGAGGGAAGCAAAAACTAAGAGTCAGAGTGGGGCCAACTGCAGGGCCCACAGAAGACCTATGGGAGGCAGGCCTGGAAGGACAAGCACACCCTCCCTGCCAGCTCAGCCCTCGCTCCTGCCCTTGAGAAAGGCACCTTGTCCACCTGACTCAAGGGAAGTGGAGACTCACTTCACCTACTAGCTCAAAAGAGTCAAAGTAGCGACAGTGGCAGCAATGCCAGTAGGCCTGGGTTGTGTCGCCGCCATTTACTGAGCACTTACAATGTGTCAAGCACCGTGCTAGGCAGCTCTTATTTATAACCTTAACACTCTCAACCATCCAGAGGGGGAGAGGCTTACTTACTTACATGTGCGCACACGCACACACATTCTCTCTCTCTCTCTCTCTCTCTCTCTCTCTCTCTGTCTCTCCCCAAGAGGATATGAAGGCTTAAAGCATGCATTTAGCCTGAATGCTTCAAGAAAGGAAGTACACCACGGCAGGGCTGGCCCCAGCCACACACACCTGACAAGGTGAGCTTCACCCATCACAGCACACCCTTCTCAGAAACAAATTAAGAAGCAACTACTCAAGATAGGTTCAGCTTTGCATTTATCTACTTCTAAACCTATTTGCCAGTACATAACATATAAATACTTCAACGCTTCATACACAAACAAGATAATCCTCCAACTTAGTTAAATAAAAATAGTAGGCATGATCAAACCATCAGTACCACAGTCTGAATGTCTGTGTCCCCACAAAATTCTTATGTTGAGACCCAGTTCCCAAGATAATAGTATTAAGAGTGAAGCCATGTGGGAAGTCATGAGGGCAGAGCCCTCTGGAATGAGATCAGGGTCCTTATACAAGAGGCCAGAGTGGTAAAAGGAATTTGAGGAGAAAAATACATTTAGATATATATATATATATATATATATACACACACACACACACACACACACACACACAGATGGAGGCCCCTGAGGGAACTTGTCTGTCCCTTCTGCTGTGAGGACACTACTAGAAGTCATCATCTCTAAAACAGACAGTGAGCCCTCACCAGATACCAAATCTGCTGGTGCCTTCGTATTGGACTTCCCAGCCTCCAGAACTATGAGAAATAAATTTATGTTGTTCATAAGCTACCTTGTCTATGGTATCTTATCATAGCAGCCCAAATAAACAACGACAATCTATTTGGGAGAAGAAGAAAAAAAAAACTATTTGTCAAACTCTGCTTAAAACTCTTCACTGACTCTATAGCTCTTAGGACAAAGACCAAAATCCTGCCCTGGCCCAAGGCCTGCCTCTTCCAAAGGCTATGTACCCTTCACCCCTAGTTGCCACCAGGCACTCCTTGAGTCCCACATGCAACCAGCACCCCTACCTAAGGGCCTATGCTTATGCCATTTCCTCTCCCTAGGACACTTTACTCCCCGCTTTCCACCCTCCCAGTCAATACCAACTCATCCTTTGTGTCTCAGCTCGATTGTCGCTTCTTTAGAAAGTCTTTTCTAGCCCTCCCCAACCCCTAAACCAGATCAAGATCATGAACTATATACATGCATTGCATCTCTTTCCTTTCAAACTTTCTAGCACTGGTTGGTGTTTGTTACATTTTATTTACATCTGTCCCCTGGATACTGAAAGCTCCACAAGGACAGGAACTGTTTGTCTTGTCCAGTCATATCCCCAGTGCCTAAGCACACATAGTGAGTGAGTGGGAAGATCCCGAGGCCTTCCTAGAATGCAAGGCCTTCCTAGAACTACAGCCTGGGGTCATTTCCAGCCTCTGCCTATTTCTGTGCAATCTACAAGGCAAGAATGGTTTTAACATTTTTATTTAGCTATTTTTTTTTTTTTTTGAAACAAGGTTTCCCTCTGTCATCCAGGCTGAAGTACAACAGAGCGAACACAGTTCACTGCAATCTCTACGCCCTGGGCTCAAGCAATCCTCCTGCCTCAGCCTCCCAAGTAGCTGGGACTACAGACATACACCATCACATCTGGCTAGTTTTTAAATTTTTGTAGAGATGGGGTCTCACTTTGTTGCCCAGGATGGTTTTGAACTCTTAGGCTCAAGTGATCCTCCCACCTTGGCCTCCCAAGGTGCTGGGATTACAGGAGTGAGCCACTGTGCCCAGCTAACATTGTTTAATGGTTGAAAAAAATTAATAGAATATTTTATAAAATGTGAAAATTACACGAGATCCAACTTTCAGAGTCAATAACTAAAAATCAGAACGCAGCTATACTCATTCTACGGTTGTTACTGTACTACTGCAGCAGAATAGTGACAGAGATGGCACAGTGCAAAACCAAAATACTATGTGGCCCTTTACATAAAAAGTGCTGTAACAGTGTCCTCAAAGTCCTAACTATGGGCATGAAATACAACAGACTTGAAAATACAGAACTGACTGTAAGTAAGTTCTCTCCTCTGGGGAAGGATGAATCATAACCCCCTTTTGGGATTCCTGATATCTGTTATATCTGTGGGCATTTACTGAATGGCTGCCACCTCTATGACATGAGGCAAGAATGGCATGTAATACATCTGTACATTTGAGAGTTCTGGCTGATCAGTTCCAAAGGGTCAGGGCTTACACCAAAACCAGAGATTACTGGGTAACCATTTTCTATTCATTCATTCAACAAGTGTCTACCTGGGCAGCTTACCTTAGTCAGTTCAGGCTGCTATAACAAAAACACCACAGACTGAGTGGATTAAACAACAGAGATTTACTCCTCAGTTCTGAAGACTAGAATGTCCAAAATCAAGGTGCTGGTCAGTTTGGTTCCTGGTTTGCAAAGGAATGCCTTTTTGCTGTATCCTCACAGGTGGAGAGGGAGATCTTCTCTTCAGGGTCTCTTGTATAAGGCACTAATACCAATCATGAATGCTTCACCCTCATGACTTAATTACCTCCCAAAGGTCCCACCTCTAAATATCATCACATTGGGAGCTGGTGCTTCAACATATGAATTTTTCAGAAAGACAAACACACTAGTCTACAAGTCTCCTTTGTGCCAGGTACTGTTGTGGGAGCTAAGGCTACAAAAATCCTTAGGGAACTAACCCTCTGGTGGGTAGGAAATAGGATGAGGACTCCTCTGCAAAAGGACTGTGTGAGAAGCAGTGGAAGATGGAATGCCATTGCGGTATCACAAGCATAATGCTGGACTTGTCTTGAAGGAACTTTTTAATTGAAAAGCCATGAAAAGTTAAGTCCCCATAACTTAAAGAGTTAAATAACGCTTCAAGAATGAGCAGATGCCCCAGAGTAGAACAGGTTAGGAGAATCATACAGCAAAGAAGGCTGGCTCACCACTTCTATTTTGTACTGAACACACTCTGATTGCCAAAGCCAATAAATGTTTGTCATTAGGAGCAATTTCAACAACAGGGAATGAGCATTCCCACAAAAGTGGGTTAAGAATAGGTGTACATAGCTATTCAGTTACGTGTGGCTCCGAAACCAACGCATGGCCATTTGAGCACCAGAAGGAGGAAATCATTTGCTGACCAATGATGCTCTCTTGCTCCAAAGACGGCAGAGATCTAGAAGAGCAAGACTGTTTAAGCTTCACCCTCAATCACATGCTCTCCTTCCCCCGTGTCTCAGATTCCAGTAAAGCTCCGTGAGAAACCTCCAGCACCCCTACATATACAGCAAGACACACACAGGAACTGTCAGCCTCTGTTAGACCCTTGCAGCAGTTTCCAGGTATGCCCAGTAAAAGGTCCTATGCCATCCTGGTAAAGAACTGGGCAATAAAATGTTCCTGGTGATACTCAATGTCCAAAAAGGACAGCCATCAAATACAGTAAAAGGAAAGACTACTATATCTTATCTGATCCAAAACAATATCCAAAGTAAAAAAAAGTAGATTTGTCAGAACAGACAATACAATTAGATGTTGAGAAATGCTGAGTGTATGATAGAATATATTGTTTGCTAGGAAGAACGATAGATAGCAAGGAAAACCTAGCTGCCCCCTACTCCAAGTGGAAAACTATTTGGGGCATTCTAAAGAGGCAGGACAATATATAAATATCAAAGACTGGTTAAAATAATTCTTTAAGCACAGGATGTCTGACCCTGCCCCCATGGCTCTCTCATGGAGAATATTTTCTGGTTTGTCCCTGATCAGTGGTAAGCAGGCACCAGCTACCTACCTAGTTTATCTTGGTTCTAGGAGAAAATAACGAACATCTGTTAATAAACATCACCTGCTCAGAGAGAATAAATGCATGGGTCAGAATCTGCTTGAGGGCCTCAGCCTGGAATGCTGTCAGCCCCCTGAAGCTCTCAGCTCAGAAGGCTGTTGGCCCCCCAAATAGTCCCACTTTGTTGTTCTATCTGGGTGTCTGCTTCTCAGTTCCTTCAGCGCCGCCTGGGTGGTGGTCTCTATGGCCAAGCTGGTCTCAGTAATGAGATTTTGGACACTCCCTATTCCTGGAGCCTATACTTTCAGAGAGGGTCTGAGTCTAGCTTCATGATGTCAGCAAAATTACATCCCCTCTCTAGCCTCTATTACCTCATCTGTAAAATAAGGCACCAGATCAGATCCCTAAGTTTCGGAATAAAGGAGCTTACCAAGAAATGCCTGTATCAGCTTTCATTAAGACTCACATAATAAAATATTTTGGAAATGCACAACAATATCACAGCTTCTCCAAAGAAGGCTGAAAGATGCTTTAAAATAAGAAAAATATAATACAATCAGAAAATTGCTGATTTTTCTTTACTTTTTAAGCCTCTGTGAAAAGACGTGGTATTTGTAAAATTATACACAACTAGTTAAAGCCTGAGCAGGGCTAAATCCTAACTTAAAATCTTAGAAATCAGCATCTCCTCTATGGCTCGACAGCCCTAAAGTGAAACATTACGGCTTATGGGAATGAGTTCTTGGATCTGAAAGATGAAAAGGAAGACAAATTGGTAATTTCCATACTTACCACCATAAAGTTTTTACTCCTACAGCTCAAAAGAAATAATGGTACAAAGAAATTTATCCTTCTTAAAATACACCCCTACTCCAAAACCCTGATCCCTTCTTTTGGAAAGCCTTGCCTGTGTTTCCACTTCCATTGTTGGATACAGCCAACACTCAGCCTCAGGTACTATCTTATTCTGTGACCAATTTAATTTTACATGTCAAAATAGTCCTTCATTGTCAGTGACCCAAAGGAAAATATATTTCTTTTTCTTAAAAGTAATAAATACTCTGAACCTACAAAAAGATGGATAGTGGCCGGGCACAGTGGCTCATGCCTGTAATTCCTACACTTTGGGAGGCCGAGGTGGGTGGATCACCTGAGGTCAGGAGTTTGAGACCAGCCTGACCAACATGGTAAAACCCTGTGTCTACTAAAGATACAAAATTAGTCAGGCGTGGTGGTGCAAGCCTGTAATCCCAACTACTTGGGAGGTTGAGGCAGGAGAATCACTTGAACCCAGGAAGCAGAAGTTGCAGTGAGCCAAGATCATGCCATTGTACTCCAGCCTGGGCAACAAGAGTGAAACTTTTTCTCAAAAAAAAAAAAAAAAAAAAAAGATAGATAGCATAAAATAACAAACACTGATGCACCTACCACCCAGTCCAAGAAATAAAACACTGCAAAACAATAGTAGAAGCCCCAAGGCACCCACTCCCAATCACATCACCCCCTTCCCATCAGAGCAACCACCACCACCACCTAGAAACCAGAGCTTATCAACCCCATGCATCTCTTCCCCTCCTGACACAGTATATATCCTTAAGATCTGTAGCACTGTTTTACAGGATCTTCCTAACCTTTCTATAAATGGTATCGTTCTGAACAGAATCAGTCTGTAACTTATTTCTTGCTCAATTTTATGTTTGTGAGAGTAATCCACATTGACACTTACAGCTCTAGTTCCTTTGTTTACTACCACATAATATTCCATTATATGAATATACTACATATTTGGCCAAAGACACTGCTTGATGTTTCATATGCCATGTTGTGCCTGCTATCTTCCATACCATTATGGAAAAGGTGCCAGCCATTTCCATAACATTCTCCAGAATCCTCACAACCACTAATGAGAAAGGTAAGATTTCCACTGGACCAAAGAGGAACTGGCATGTGGTGTAACTTGTCCAGTACATGTGAGCAGCAGACTCCTGCTTCAAGTTCAAGCTCATCCAAGTCTAAAGCCATACTCCTGACAATACGCCTTGTAACCCCATTTATGTAGATTCAGATTTTTTTTTAAATGAGAAAACTGATATAGTGTTTCACAGTCATCTGAGAAAAACCTGAAACCGGACACTCTATTTTCTTTGTTAACAAACATTCCATAGGAAATACACCTGACATGGGGACAGTCTGTGTGTACACTGAGGAAGAGCCTCTGGCTTTGGCAAAGTACCTCCACTGGGGTCATTCTCAAGTTTATACAGGTGCTAAGTAAGCCTGAGTAGGACTCAGTTGGCTTCCTTTGGGGAAACAGGTTGTCTGCACCCACTTATAGACAGGACAGAGGAGCCCTAGAGAACATGGGAATCAGATCCTGCTTGAATTGGCAGGAGCTGAGTTGAAAAAGCTCTAAGAATATCTCTGGAAGCAGCTCCAGCTGTTAGCAGGTCTGGGGGTGAGAGGAACCGTCCTGTGTTGACAAGGCTAGGAGCCTGCCTACTCTGCTCTCCACGTGGCCACCTTTGAGAGTGCTTTCCTATATCCCAGCCCAACCCTGCTCCCCTGGAGAAAGCCCAGCTTGCAATGCAGAAGAGGAGTGAGAGTGAAGGTGGAGGCTCACAGGAACCAGGCAGGGAGCACAGCCTGGAGAAATGATACCGGACTCCAGGCCTGGGTCCAGATCCCTCCAGGTGCTCGGAGCAGGTGGGCCTCTAGCAGGTGACAGAGTCTAGCCCCACTAAGGACTCCCAAGGAAAGGGGAGGCCTCTCAGTACCAGGACTCCTGACTCTACTCTCCTGCTTCTACACTATTTCTCCCATGTGTCCGTTCACTGGAGGATTAAAGGGATCCTCAAAGGAGCAAGGCCTAACTGGCTGAAGTGACCCCCTCCTATCTCTCCCAGACAAAACAAGGAGCAAGACAACAGGCTCCGACACTTAGCTGGCTGTATTACCTTAATTGGAGCATCCCTGCCTGAGACGGCAATCGCCACCTGCGGAGGTCTGTCCTGTAGACCTTGACTCAATGATGGATGAATGAATACATTGTCACACCTAGTACAGAGATTTTGAGTGGGCTAGGGAGGGTCATCAACTGCTTTCAGAGGGTGTCTAGAGTTAACCAACCACCACTCCTTGTCCTTCCTTGCATTTATTCAATATAGATTTAATAACAGAAGTTCTAAGTCAACAGGCTTGTGGATAATTAACATGGTTAAAAGAGTGGTTTTACAAATGATAAAAGCTTTTCATTCAGGGGTCTAGAGTAAACACCACTAATGGGTAATTTCTCTTTGACCTCCCTATGAGAGGACCATCCAGCACAAAGTTTACATGAGCAAACAGAGTAGACAAAGGGATGTGGGGTAAACAGACTTAACTGGGGAAGCTTTATTGTTCCTATCTTTTACCATATGACTTAAAATTCTAACGTAATGAACTGGCTGCCTTCAGCCTATTCCATCACAACCTTTGGGCTTTCTAAAGGCTTTGAAACTATAATCTCCTAACTTTCCCTAATATTTCCTTAACATTTTGCCAGCCACCCCGAGTGAATCTCAACACTTGCCCACTCTGGAGGGAAACGTAGTGGAATATCTCTAAGGGTCCTGCCATGTTTGACTCTTTTTGTCTAAGGCTAAATGCACTGTGGGTCAGGTCTGGAATCCTAGGAAGCTGGGAAGGGAGGATGGTTTGAACCCAGGAGTTTGAGACTAGCCTGAACACCATAGCAAGACCCCTGTCTCCACAAAAAATAAAATAAAATGAAATAAAATTGGCCAGGCACGGTGGCCTGACCTGTGGTCCCAGTTACTTGGGAGGCAGAGGTGGGAGGATCACTTGTGCCCAGGCATCGCAGCTGTGGTGAGCTGAGATCCCACCACTGCACTCCAGTCTGAACAACAGAGCGAGATCCTATCGCAAAAAGAACAAATAAATAAAAATAAATGCACTAACATTTACTGAGCAATTTAGAGTATAATTCATTTAATCCCGACACCCCATGAGGTAGATCTACTGTTATCCCATTTTACACAGGAGGCTGAAGCGCAGAGCGGTTAACTGATGTATCAACGTCCTAGCAGAGTTCTAAAGGAGGCCCCCGGGGGTAGAAGTCTACCGTTATGGATGCCTGGGAGGGCTGCACGGGACATCCACGGGATGCTGGAGGTGAGAAGGCATGAGAGAGGGGCAAGAGGGAAGGCGCGGAGGGAGATAATGGGCCAAAGTGCCTGAGGAAGTAGACGGGGCTGAGTAGCCCGAGCCACACTGGCGTAAGTTCAGGTGGAGGGGAGGAGATAGGAACCAGGGCGGGATGTGGACAAGTGGGGAAAGGCAGGCCGACGTGGGCAGGGTGTGAGGAGGCCTTAAGAAAGAAGGGAGGATGGGACAGGGCCGCAGGAGAGGCAGGGGGCGCCGACAAAAGTGCGCGGGCTGTTGCGGGACGCGCGGTCCCACCTGAAGCATCGTGGCGGCTCCAGCACTGTGCACCTGGAAGTGGGCGGGCGGTTCTGCTGCCTCGTCGGCGCGCTGTAGCTGAAGCAGGCTTCAGCGATGTCCGGGTGGCCAAGGGGCAGGGCGTCGTGAGGGTTCTTGAAGTAGAAAAGGAAGCAGCGACGCGCCTATCACTAACCCGCGGCTGCGGAAGAGGCGCAGCGGCGCTGGTTCCCGCATGGGACCAGCCCCGGGCTCTGCGGCCGCCTCCTCGCCGTTGCTGCCTTCCTCCGCCCGGGCTCCGGCACTGGCTTGGCTGCCAGAGCGCCAACTGTCGGTGCCTCAGCCTCCGCGCCGCCTCGCTGTGGCTGCAGCACCCCCCTGTCCCCCGCGGCGCCCCGTTCCGCACCTCTCTGCTTCTCCCTCAGGTGAGCAAAGCGGCCTGGGACTTGTAGTCCCCAGCCTCCCCCTCAGCCCACCCGTTGGCCGTTGGCCGTTGCCCCCCCAGCCCCTCACCTCCCGCACTTGCCGAGTCCCCGCTCTGCCGGCGTCTCGCTCGGTAGCCTAAGCTGGAGTACAGTTGCGCCATCTCGGTTCACTGCAGCCTCCGCCTCCCGGGTTCAAGCAATTCTCCGGCCACAGCCTCCGGAGTAGCTGGGATTATAGGCGCCCGCCACCACGCCCGGCTAATTTTTGTATTTTTAGCAGAGACAGGGTTTTGCCACCTTGGTCAGGCTGGTCTCGAACTCCTGACCTCAAATGATCCGCCCGTCTCGGCCTCCTAAAATGCTAGGATTACAGGCGTGAGTCACTGCGTCCGGCCCAAAAGTCTTTTTTGGATGAGAAGGACTCACTCAGCTTGGTCCTGAAGAGCAAGTGGACAGAGGAAGAGGAGAGTATGAATGTGAGTCAAAGAGCAAGGCAGCCGATAGACCTTGCTGCGTATGGTTTTGCACTTTTTTCTTCAAAAAATGTCACTGTCTGAACAGTGCTGTTAGAAGACGCGCACACACGCGACGCAGCCAGTTCTCTGCAGGATTAGAAGAAACTTGCGCGAGTCAATCTGCGCAGTAAAAAATAAATACGAAATGGGCGAGAAAGCACTTAGCAGTCAAATCTCGCCACCCGGTTAAGTTTGGAAGCACAGCTGACACGCAGTAATGTTTGGTGCTGCCTAGCATCTCCGACTCCCGGCGCCCTCCGTTGCTAGGGTGACCAGACCCGCGTCCTAACTAACGCTCCGCCCAACAAACCATAGAGTACCGGAAAAAGCTCGAGCAGAGGAGACGGAAAGGGAACACAACGGCAGCTGCGGTGTGGTCGGTGCTGAGATGACGACCTTAGTGCTGGATAACGGAGCTTACAACGCTAAAATCGGTTACAGCCATGATAATGTGTCGTAAGTGCTTTCTTTCTCCGAATGACAGGATATATACGCCTAGTGGTGTCATGTGCTACGTTTCATCTCCGGACATCAGTGAATTGCAGACGCCCCCGCGCCGCCCTAACTTAGCCAGAGGGATGCCTTGGTTGGAGCTGGGTGGGTGGTTGTGATGCTTTGAACTGGAATTGATTTTGGTTTTAGTTTTGGGTTGCGAGCCCCGGAAGTGGGATGTATGTTTTATTTCGTAACAGGAAATAGCCATGGAAGATAGGCTTCTAGAGATGCTTTCCTGACAGAAGTTCATTGGCCTTTGGAAACTGTGGTCAGCGTGTTTGGGTGTTTGTGGATTTGCCTTGGGACAAGATTATAGGTTTCATTGGATTCTCAAAGGGGTCTATGACCCCTCAAAAGTCTAAAAATCACGGTCCTAGGACCTAGAGGCTTTGAAGACTTTGGCCTACTGGCCGACCTAGTTAAAACTACTGGTGTTTTGAAAAAGAAATGAAAGAGAGAAATCAAACTGAGTAGGAATGTCAATTGTTACAATCTTTCTCGAAAATGTTTTGGCAATGTGTGTCATTATCATTGTCTCAGAGGCTGGAGTGCAGTGGTGCGATCTTGCTTCACTGCAGACTCCTCCACATCCCTGGTTCAAGCGATCCTCCTGCCTCAGCCAACCAAGTAGCTGGGATTGCAGGGGTGCGCCAACACTCCCGGCTAATTTTTTGTATTTTTAATAAAGACGGGATTTCACCTTGTTGGCCAGGCTGGTCTCGAACCCCTGGCCTCAAGCGATCTGCCTTGGTCTCCCAAAGTGCTGGCATTACAGGCGTCAGCCACTGCACCCAGCCGACCCAGCAATTCTATTATTACTTAGATAATTAATTATAAGTACTATATTTGATAGGAGTAATTACAAGGATGTTTTATATTATTCATAGACATTGTGTACAGATAGCCAAAAAATGGGAAGCAAGCTAAATAATCAAGATTGGCTAAATATATCATAATACAAATATGAGCTTGATAACAAATGCAAATTCTTAAAATTATGTATTCAAAGAATATTTAAACATGTAGTGAAAATGCTGACAGTATTATAAGTGAAATAAGCAGGTACAAAACATTTTTTTACAGTATTATCCTAATGTCATCTCATATACATATACAGACACATTTGTATGTATA